CATCCCTCTCCCCCTTCATTCACATCCCCCCTCACCTCTCCATGGCAGCCTTGTCCTCTGGTGCTATGGCTTCCTCTTCCTCCTCCTCACTGCTAGAGCTCTCCTCGTCCGCAGCGACTGGCGCCCTCACTCGGCCAAACTCGTCCAGCTCTTCCAGTTGGTACTGAGGAATTTAGTTTTAGTAAGACTACCAACACAATAAGGTCATACATGTGCCGCAGATTAGAAGCGTTACAAGGGAGTAACAAACATAAAAAAGAAGGAGAGATCAGGATGACAGATGGTTCATATGAAAGAAGCAGAAAACCCCCATGAGAGCACCCACCAACCACCCACGTACTGAGAAAACACACAACAAGAGAGACATTAAGACACAGAGCAATGTTCTTTTTTAATGTCATCATCATCATCACTGCCTTTGTCACCCTGCAATAGGGTATGGGCCATGAAAAAACACTTTCCATCTCCTCCTATCCTGGGCTAGTCTCTTGATGTTATTTCATGTCTTCCCACTTTTCTGTACATCGTTCTCTGTGATTCTTCTCCACGTTCTATGTGGCCTTCCCCTTGATCTCTTACCCTGTGGATTCCAATCCAATACTTTTCTTTGTTATGCAACTGTCTGGCTTCCTGGGAGTAGTCCAATCCATTACCACCACCTTCTTTTTTTTAATGTGTGATCAGATTAACTTGAGCAGAAATATTGACAGTGGGAGTGGTTTCAAAGAAATAAACAAGAAGCTTTTTTTCCTGGCTTCATAAAATTAGTTTCTCCTCCAGAGAGCTGATCATCCGAATGCAAACTTTTATCATGAAGAAGTGAGTCAAGAAGTAATTTATGGATAACAAGATTTTTTTTTTTTCATGTTTCACAGGGAGGGAACATATGACAATTTTAGTTTTAGTTTGAGTAAGTTTCATGACACTCCCAACACAAATAGGCCAAATAAATGCCAAAGATTAGAGGTGTTATTAGAGAGTAATATACAAAGAAAAGAAAGAGGAGAGATAATGGCAATAGATATTTGATAGAGAGTGCCCACTAACCACCCACAAAAACATTACATTAACACCAAAATAGTCCAAAGTATGCAAAGCAGGCAACACTAATCGCTCATTCAGAAGCAGTGATTACTATCAAACTGACCACATTTCACAAGGCACAGATAAAAACAACAGCAAAATTGGCAAGAAGTAGAAGAGCAGACCGCATCAACCACTCTTCAATACACATGAATTTCTCTTCTAGCACTCACTGTAGGAAACAACAGCTCTCGCACTTTCTGTGGGTTGGTGCCCAGTTTTGGCGGGGCTGGGTTCCAGAAAACCTGGGACTCGTCAGTTCTCAGCGGCACTTTGGTGCCCGACACTTCCAAATCTGTTTCACCTAGCTGGGAGGGAATAACAAACAGGCAGTTTGAACATCCATTTTTCTTATAGATTATGGCATCACATCAACATAATCTAACAGATTGTAACACTACATCAATGTATCTAATAAACTGTAGCATCACATCACAATGTTTCTAACTAACAGTTGATAGATGATTGAATCATATCAACGTATCTAATAGATTGTAACACTACATTACCATACTAAATAGATGGTAGTATCACATCAGTTTATCTTATAGATTTTAGTGTCTAAAAGTAGCAGCCAGATTTTTAGGCCATGGTGTTGTAAATGTGGCTGGTCCAAGGTGGTGTTTTCAAGAGACTAGGTTTCTGACTTATTTTATCAAATAATGTAGTACAAAAATTAAAACAAATAAATGAATAATGTAGTAGAAATGACAACAGATTTATTTTCTGGAAATGCTCAAAAATGGGTATTCATTGTGCTTGAGTGTGTGTTTGCATATACAGTACCACCACATCCTGCAAATAAACAAAAGACCAAACACACAGAAATTCCTACATTACAACAAAACTAAGCTTAAATAATTACCACACTGTCCGCCCTTTGCTGCCACTCCAGTAAAGTGGAGGGAGCAAACTCCATACTCTCAGCGAGCCTGTTAGCCTCCTGCACCACTCTGTCTGCCGCTCGCTCCAGCCTGGTGTTGGAGCTGGTGGTGGACGGCTCTCTCTCCGGCATTCTGGGCTCACCTGGCTCAAACTGGAACAAGAGAACCCAGATTCATACCATAGACCTGCACTGTTAGATCACACACTGTCATGGCTTCAACTCTTTACTCCCTAAACAAAAACTGTGCTGCAAAGTGTGCTCACCATAAAGCCTAAAGAAATATGTCAGAACATATATTTTTGTCCACAATTACAAATCCATATAAAAGTAGTAAGGATTTTAAAAAACTGATAACTCTTTTTGTGGTAAGTTATATGAAATATTTTCCTAACTTTTTGCTGTTAATAAAGCAATCCTATTAGGTACAGAAGTGCTACGTACAGAAATGATAAAGTGAACCCCTCTTTCGCATGAAAAGAAATTTTGCTTTTGTTTAGCTTCCAGAAATTACTGTCAGCAGTTGAAGTATTGAGACTGTTTACAGACCAAACATTTCAACTTTCGTTCACATGATCAGAAAACTTGATATACAGAGGTAGACCACCATGGAAAAACAATCGGACTCACATACTCAATATTATAGAAAATTCCAAAGTTCAGAACACGATTAACTTTCATTACTTTCTGCAATACCCTTTTTAAAAAGGGTATGTCACTCACGCCTGAGCCTATTAATTGGTTTGACAGTTTTTTGAGGAAACTATGGAAGTAGTATATATGCTTAAGGTATCAACAATTTAAAAAACCTTCACAATTTGTTTACCTCATTTGTCTTTCCATTACGGTATTTAAAATAAAAGTCACTCTCAAGTCACAGGTCAGAAGTAAACATACCCTGTACGGCTGGTCTGGCATCACGCTGGGGAACCTGTCCGGGACATGATACTTCCTCCCAGCATGCACCAGCGACAATGGCAGCTGGTACTCCTTGGTCATGGTGCAGAAGTGGTGGATGTTGTTGGAGAACTGGCGAGGGGGTTTCACCACAGGTTCGGATCTCTTTGCCCCTGCCTGGGCCCAGGTGGACAGAAAAGAGACAGAGGGAGCGAACACGTTCACTTTGCTACCCGTGTCTGGCACCGGACTCTTGCGACCTTGCAAGTCTTTGATTTCCCCATGCACACACAGGACATCCTCAGCCGTTGCCTCAGGAGGGGCCAGCAAGTCTTCCCAAGCCTAGAAGGAAAAGTCCATTTGGTTTTAGTTTTTCTAGTTTTAACCAGTGTGTTCACATTTTGAAGTACCTATGATCATAAATGAAGGTAATTTATTGTATTTCGTCGCCACATCACGTTTGAAATTTTAGGGACCCTATACATCATGCTTTTTATGAAACTGAAAATAGGAGAGTCTTAGTATCTTTGCTGGTGAAAATCTGTACAAAATTTTAATTTTGGTAAAACTATTACAGAATATATGTACATAATAAGTTGGAATTTTTTTTAATGTTGGTCTCTCATACTCCAAGAGTAGAAAATGTTAACAGAAGCGTGGAAGAGGTTTATAAGATAATAATAATAATAGATAACAGTGGCGTCGGTGGCCTAGTGGTTAGGCTCTCGGACTCGCAACCGTAAGGTCGTGGATTCGAATCCCGTGAGGGGCCCGACGTTGTGTCCTTGGGAAAGGCACTTTACACGAATTTTCCTCACTTCACCCAGGTGGGAATGGGTACCCGGCTATAGACAGCCAAAGATCATGTCAGTTTGTTAGTGTTTGAGCGCTTAATCGGCTGCTCGCACTGTATGCTTCCCGGGAAGCTGAGAATGTTTCGGAGTGTTCTATGGTCTGCTGGGGTAATAATATAGTGTAAAGCGCATAGAGCCTGCTGTTGAGCGGGGATATGCGCTATACAAATGCTATCTATTATTATTATTATTTATAAGAGCATGGGGAGAGTTTACAAAAAGTAAAATACATTAATCTTGTTTCTACTTTGTGAGTTTTTCCCTAGTTGCAGAAGGTTCTGGAATGTAATATCCATGACATTTGAGGGAATACTGAACAGTTACAAAAACATTTATATTGTTCTCACTGTACCAACTCTGTTGTAATAATCAACCTATTTTAATTAGACAATATAAACATTTCATTTCTCTGTCTGCATGGCAATCTCTAGACCTGAGACGAAATGTTCTACAAGTACCTGCTGAATGTCCCAAGGGTTGAGAAAATCATCATCGTCTTCTTGAAGCTGGAACTCCACATCATCTTCAGCATCAACCATCGCCTGAGAGAGGAACAATTAGAACAGAAGTGATGACTACAACATCATGACATGCCTATCGACCAGACCACCACGAACATGAGGAAACTATCAAATACCACAACCTATCTGACCATTTTAGCTTACGATTTACGATTTTTGGTATATAAACACAAGCTTCTGAAGTTTCACTACTTTTCTTCATAGAGGGGGTGGTTGCTCAAATAGTGATGGCTGTCGACAGCCTAGAGTTGGTAATGCAATGCTTGTGGCAAATTTCACTTTTGGAAAGCTTTTATCAAATCTGCTGCTTTCAGTTACTGCAATGTGAGCTGCAGGCCGTATGCCTTGTGCTTTCTCTTCAACATTGTCAACTTGCTGAATCGACTGCAAATTCACACATAACAGACAAAAGAGTAGATCAGCATACGGGAGTGACCACCACATTGCACTTTGCCCTAAGCTAGGCAAGAGGCACATGAGCGTTCTTGTTTCTTTCTCCTATTTCTCTGTCTTGAAGTGCCCAAGACTTGCATTACTTGAGAGTTGCTAGTGAAGAGTCAGACAACACAACCGTTGAAATTCTCTTCAGTATAGAAATGGGAGCATTTCACCTCAGTGATAGTTTTCTTACAAAGACAAAGAAGTAAAAAAATCAGAGATAGTATTTTCTTTCGCTATACAGCTGTTTCCAGAGTAATTATGTTTCCTTTAAGTGGACTCCACTGCATTTGCAGTTTTCAATGTTTCATGAACCCATCGATAAAATCTAGAAGAAAGGAAAGCTGGCTACTTTCATCCTGCGCATCAGGCCCAACCTGGTTTGAATGGGATACAACATATCATGAGATAGATCAAGATATTCAATAAAACAAACTTTCCCACATAAAGAATCAAACTTATGTCATTCTACATGCAATGGTACTTACATCTGGGTCCTCTGTGAGAGCTTGCATGGTTTCTGTTGTTCTTGTTGTCAGTGACAGACCTGCAATGGGAAGCAACAATTCACATGAAACTGTCATATCTCAAAGAAATCAAAGGCTTAAAGCCGCTGTTTGAGAAAGGAAAAACAAAATAAGTTTTGTAACCCAGAATAGAATAAACCATAGAATCTGCAGTGGTTGAATTATTTGAGAATTCAAAAAATTACAGAAATCAAAGCTTCAAAATCAACATGAGAAATACAAACTGAACAATTCAAGCATAACTCTTCTTCAACAAAAACACACTGAATGCCGTTTGAAATTACAACACATAAGCCCATAGAACTACAAGAAACAGAAATCTGTAAAAGGAAAATATTTGACAATTCAATTTTTGGCACAGTTTTCACAGTTGTGGTAAGTTCACTTTACATGTATCAATGTTTTCATTTTCAGAGACATTTCTTGACTGCAGCTAGTCAAATGCTGGAAATTGAACTGCATTACTGCAGTAACAGACAGTGAAAAAATATTGTTTGAAAGATTCCAGAACATTCCCCTAAGAACTCACAGAATAGTTGATACACATCAGTCCAGACAGACCAAGAAGCAAAACCACGACACTACGCAGTACAACATATAACCTTACCCTCTCCCTCACTCTCCTCCACCAAAATTTCCTGTCCCAAGCTGTCACGGGCTGTGTCTTTTGCTGTCTCTGAACAGAAAACGGAAATCAAATTATAGGCTTAGAGGAAGAATTTTTACTGAAGAATAAGATACATTAAGAACCCTTTGTCTACTCTCCATTGGAAGGAATTGCAAGTCACAGTCTTCTGTCAGTCCATTTGAACATGAGATATATTCCATTTATCAACAAACAAGTGTTGCTATTCATCTAAAAGCAATTCATATATTGCTACAATTCACCAGATATTCAAATTCTAGCATATTTCAATTTACCTTTCCTCCTAAACCACAATTGGTTCTCTATCTAAGAAGAGCTTTATTCAAGTTCACATTGTTCTTTATCTCAAAAAAGTTTTTCTTTAGAGAAGATTACTGCAACATTTCATTTTAATCATAAAGCTTTCAGTCAAAACTGTTAACAAATGTTCAAATACAGAATCACTCCAAAATACAGTGTGATAATCATCCATATATAAACTAAATGAATATGAAAATCAACCAGATCAACAAACTGTATAATGGGGGGTGAGGGGGAGAGAAGAATCTAAATATAAATAAAAAACAAACACTAGCAAAGAACTACTGAAATTATATACATTTATCAGCAGAAATAACAATAAAGCTAAATTAGATCCCAGAGCCATCATCAAAAGCGTCTCCTCCTTCTCCCTTTAGAAATTGCAATGACTTTTAATGATATAATTGATTGATGAAAAACGCTATAATTATCTATAAAAAGAAATACAAAAGGAATAAAATAAAATCTTAGTACCGTCGTCAAAAGCGTCTTCTCCTTCTCCCTTGAGGCTCTCATCCCGATATGACTTCAAATCTGGTGTGACAGATGGGCTCAGACCAAGCTCAAGGTCACCAGGAGGGGCCAAGAGCTCTGCATCTCCCGGCACCATGCTTGTGTCCTCAGCCAGCTCAGCTTCACCTCCTTTGGCGGAGAAATATCATCAGTTTTATAGACATGATGACATATGTGTACAGTTAACATAGCTACTAGGGTATGTGTACTCATAATAATCTTATTATAATGGAGCTAAGCCCATTTGTGGGGTCAGTATACATTTTTTACACAGGAGCCCATAAAATCTACAAAAATATGATTCAGTTAAGAATTTTCACAAAGGGTTAGGTGGGCATATTTCCAACGTACGGAAACTACCTTTTGATTTTTCAGATTTGGTGATTTTTACTGTAAATTGAAGCTCTCAGATGTTTCACTCTGCCCTTATCCAGTTCATATTTTACTGGGGACTACTCCCGTTTTGAAACAAGCTTCGTCGTGTGAGCTGCTTCATTTGTCTCCAGATCTAGAATCTCGATATCCAACTCAGTTTGGATGTGTGCTTCGCAGTGTCGATGAATACTTCAGGACAAAGTTCACTGTATTGACCTTTTCTAGATATATTTGGTGTAGTCATTTCCCCGACAAGTTGAGTTCGTTTAGACCCACAAAATGCTTACTTCGCTGTATGGACGTTTTCAAATTTTGACGTGTATTTGGAGCGTATTTTTTTTAATAGAGCAAGACTCTAGATCTAGACTATATTACATCCTAGATGCATTTATATAGTGCATATCCACACTCTACAGCATGCTCTGTGCACTTTACAACTATTTTGTTGGGGTAAAGTCAAAATATCCAGAGAGGATCAAAACAGTTTATCTATTTAATCTTGACTTTTCCAAAAGCTATTATTTTTATGTCTCATCTTGAATCCTGCTTTATCAATTTGAATGGAGTCTCTTCACATAATGACTTTCAGATAACAAAAAATAGATTTTAAAAATGTAAGAAACCCCTTCCATCCATACATACTTTTATACTTTACTTTACTTTACTTTTCCGATCCAGCGGCCATTTGGGTTCTAGCCCTTCGGTCTGTCGATATGGCAAAGAATTGACAGGTTTTAATCAGCTGTGCTTTGTCGCTGTATAGAGTGTTTCCGATGTCTGGGGAGGCAGGTACATACTTTTATGGAAACCTCAAATGATAAAACATATAAATTATGAAAGATCAGGTTGATTTCTTTATTTATTCTTTTGTTGATTAGTCTTACTGTCTTTGTCCTCCAAGTCGGGGGCTAATGCTGCATTCGTTCTCGACATCACTCGATGCATGATCTCCTTGATTTTGCGATCAGCTTCTGTCTCCCTGAGAGAAGAAAGAAATTCCCAAAGACTAACTCCTTGATTCTGAATATCATGGTAAAAGTGTCAGACATGGGAATAAAAAGTGTAGCCTTATAACAAGAAAGGTCACAGCAACTTGCATGAGACTACTGCCACATTTCATCTTTGGTGTTTTTCATAATAAGACTTCTACTTTTTAGTGGGATTTTGCACGGTGGGTGGGAAGGTTTTATGGAAAGAGAGAAAGAAGAAAGAAAGAAGAGAGAGGGAGTGAGAATGAGAGAGCAAGAGAGAGCGAGAGAGAGACAGACAGACAGAAAGAGAGACAGAAAGAGAGAGAGAGGGAGACAGAGACAGAGACAGAGGCTGAGAGAGACAGAGAGAGACAGAGAGAGACAGAGAGAGACAGACAGACAGACAGACAGACAGACAGACAGACAGACAGACAGACAGACAGAGTATAATAATTCATCAGTCATTTGTTGATGTTTTTCCTTGCTAATGAGAGGAAGTTCTTCATTGCTTTGTCAACTGCGTGCTTTTTCTATACACACTGTTAAAGTCCACTTCCCTTATAACTGCATGACAAAACAGTTGCAAATCACTTACTTTAACACCCACATGATTACCGATTAATATATTCATCTCCCGCCAGCACTACTTTCAGGAACAGCAATGAGAATACTCACCTCAAAGACTGCTTTTAAATAAGCTTATTGTTTCTGTATCAAATCCATTTTTCCACACATTCACAAACAGAAATAAACTCTTTCTTTATTTGTTTGCTTTACAGCTTAAATCATTCCTATCTCATACATGGGAAAGCTGTCTTTCCGAAAGCATAGTTGGCAACAATGGTCATGACAGATCTGCCAGCCACAGGATTGCTGGTCACTAAGGTGTTGACCACAAAGTCAGTTACAAGTTAACTGCTTGTACTTTTGTGAGATAAAATACATAATTACTGAAAACACGTCTCCAGAAACATATTTGTGGAAAAATTTTGCACTGCAGGATGAGTGACACGTACACATTATAAGCCGACTCATCCCGTAAACTGGCAATGATCTCATCCACAGTTCTCTCTCCTCGTTTGGCTTCTGCTGTCTCTTCTGGCTTGGAGGCACTTTTCTTTCTCTCTGTTCATAGAAAATAAATAAAATATTTATTCTGAACAAGTATATTTCAACATCAGAATATATCTACTTTTGCCACCACTCTTCAAGAAATTGAAAAAATGGAGTTGGGAAAGGGGTGGGGTAGTATGGGTTGTAAATAAACAAACTAAATAAACAGCCTTAAAAGTATTTCTTGTTACCCTACAACATAAGCACTGATTACTTTTGTTCATGCGTACATAAAAAAAAAAAACAATTCTTAAACATTCTAGCTACCAGCAAAGGTGTGTTTTAAATGTTTGCATTATGGTAATGGGTATTACATGCTGCTGAATTAATCTTTAATTCATTTATGTACACATTGTGCAAGCCATTGCACCCATATTTTCCCCAAAGGGATCAATAAAAGAGTGGGGGGGTTTTCTTTTTCTTTGGCTTTCCTTCATTCTTGTTCTTTGTTATTTTTTTATGATCAAACAATAAAGCAAACCCGTATCTGCCACCTTATGACAGAAAAACATAGGCTATATGCCAAATATGGAATTTTACAGAAGAAGAGAAATACTAACTTTTTGTGTGTGCTTCAATTTAACTAAAATTTGGAAAATCTGAATATTTTACGTCAATATTCAGTGGCTAGTGTAACTTTTGTCTGATTTGCTGAGGTATACTGTAAACAGTTATGGAGTAACTGATTAAAATTTCTTTTGTTACAACGCCTATTGTCAAAAGCCCAAAATTTCCTTAATTTTAATTGTACAGCCATAATACCAAGATAGAAAGACATGCCATAAAAAGGGTTTTTTCCCCTGCATAAAAACGCATCTTGACCTTATTATACATGTACGTCTTTTTGTCATAAGACGGCAGATATGAACCTTTAGGTTTGCCCTCCTTTGCAGATTTTCTTCCGGATTTGGTTGACTTTGCTGAGAGTCTGACAGACTTTGCACTGCGTCTGCCCTTTGCTCCACCTCCCCCTTTGGGGTCCAGTGTGTCTTGGCCTGGTGGCTCAACCTTGACCTCAGGGTCAGTGGTGTTTTGGAGGTACAGAGGTTGTGACTCAGCGCTTGAGATCCTCTTCGCTTCCTCCAGTAGCTCTTGCACGGATTTCACCTAAAAAATAGTAAATATAAGACACTAGCTGGGCCCCCTTTCGATGAAAGGAATGATTGGTGCATTAACATCAACTGAAAGTCATTGGCCTAGTATATTTACACTCTACTGGAATGGAGCAATAAATCTTGAGAGATGCAAAAAATTAGAAGGTCTAGATCAAGATTTTTACTCTCAAAACAAAATGCGTCTCGCAAAATATCACTTCCGCACCGGATTTTCCAAAATTGCAGAGACAGAAGCGTCGGCCTACAAAAGTGATCGGCGAAATAAATAACTTTAACTTTTTCCAGCTAAACTGTCTCAAAACTGAAAAAAACGAAGGGCGTCATGATCTGGAGAATATTTCAAAGAATCAATTGGCGAAAACCGCATGTCGATCGATGCAGCCATTAAAAAGCCTTTTGAATAGCAAAATTCGGCCACGACAAATAGATAATAGATGAGAGAGAAAGAATGTAGTTAACCAAAAGAAAAGAAAAACCCCAATTTGTTTTCTTTTACTTCAGCAACCTCTCTAAACTGAAAACTCAGCTAAACTAATGAAAAACTGGCAGTCCCTACAGATTTCAATTAAAGCAGACTCCACTGTTTATAAATATAATATACTTTTGTCTCTTCTTTTCCATACAAGTTTGAAATGGAAGAGACAAAAGTGAAGAGAATAAGGAAGAGATGAGGATGGACTGAGAGAGAGAGAGAGAGAGAGAGAGAGAGAGAGAGAGAGAGAGAGAGAGAGAGAGAGAGAGAGAGAGAGAGAGAGAGAGAGAGAGAAAGAGAGAGAGAGAGAGAGAGAGAGAGAGAGAGAGAGAGAGAGAGAGAGAGAGAGAGAGAGAGAGAGAGAGAGAGAGAGAGAGAGAGAGAGAGAGAGAGAGAGAGATGAAGACAGGGGACTGTACTAGTGGCATAATTTATTTTTTTATATTGACAAAGCGGTTTAAATTCTCTGTGATGAAAAGCAATATTTTGTAAAGAATGCTGTGATTATAATTGTTAGCCACATATTGACAACACTTGATGCAGTACAGTTGAAAGTTAAAGGAATGACATAGGAGCATAGTTAGGAATAAAAGAAAACAAAAACAAACAAAAACATACAGCCAAACATAGACTTAGTCACCAAAGATGTTTCTATAACATTGAATGAAAGTCAACGGATAACAACCACAAAAGCTACTCACTGAACCATCCCTGGATGGCTGACCTCTCTGCGACTTTTCTGCCACACTGACCGCAGTTTCTACATCATCATCATCGTCGATGTGATCTATGGCATCATCGTACTGACTGTAGACTGCTTCATCTGGTAGGGCAATCTCACCGCTCATCAGCGAGGACTGGAAGCTTTGAGCTGTACCGGCACGAGCTGCTTCCTTTGCTGATTCTGAACACAGAAGTTTTTTCTTTCTCATCCTGTATATTATGTTAATCAAACTTAACTGTTACAGGTCTCTGTATTTCTCAGTTTTCCTACTGAATACTACTCAAAGAATGCTGTCTTTAATTATAGTAAACAATAATAAACAAGTTTATACTGAGCAAAGACACGTACATTTCTTTTGAAATATATTGAAAATAATATTATGCACATAACAGGGTGTAATGCTGCATGTTCCCTTGTGAACAGTCAGTAAAAAATGTTTAAGCTGGCCCGCCAGCCAAGAGACTTTATTGTGAAGTTTTGTGAACCTTCAGCTGGAGGATGAAAACCACAATAAAAGAATATCTTAATTTTGCTTTCCCTTAAACAAAAATATTCCCAAAGAAACAAAACACTTCATCCCCTCAATATGCTGTAACAGGCTCAAGTCTATAGACTGATACAATTGAAGGAGAAAAAGTAGGATTTAAAAAAAGAATGCAAGTTTTTTGAAAACTTTAAGATGGAAAACAAAAAGATGTTATCCTTTACAAACATTATGACAGGCTCAGATCTGTAGCTCTGCAACAGTCAATGTGGTCTTAATAGCATGACACTGGTTTTGCACCCCTTTCAATACAGTTACGTTATTTAAGGAGCAACATTTCTGATTTAATTATTGCTGGACCAAGTCAAGTAAGTGGACAGCACTGGAAACTTTGCAAACAACGCAAGTTCACGAATGTCCTACAGTGGACTAGAACCACGGTCCCCTGCACAGATGATTTTTACTTGTGATCATGTTTTCAAAGGCAACTAAACACTGAAGAGAAAACGAAGAAAAGATCTCACACAAATATTTGGATAGACCTGAAGATGGCATTTTACAGATTACAAACATACTTGCTGAACGCTTTCTCAGACTACGGAGATACGAAACTTTCGGGGCCGGCTTCGTTCTCTCACAGAATTTGACAGTTGCTGATGTCCCTATACCAGGCAAAATGGCTGGTTTCTTCTGCTGAACTTCGTCTTCCTGTGGCTCTGCATCAACTTTTGGTCCCTCCTTTCTTTTTTTGTCCTTCGCATGAGGTTCTCTCTCTGTCTGCTCATTCCTTTGTGTGTCTAGTTCTTCAAGAGGCAATTTTGGCACCATGAAAGAAGTTGCTGGTGTATTGTACAGCTTTGGTCTTCCAGGTGCCTGGATATGTTGAAAGCATTAATCAGTATTACATTTACATTTAACATGCATATATGTGCTATGGAATAAAAGCAAGAAATAAGTGAGAAAGGTTAAATTTGAAAACCATGCTCTCTTATGCAAGTTGTTTTTAATGTAAGATTAAGACCTTGCACTAAAAAGGCTCTTTACTGTAAGTCACTATTGACTAAACACAATCATCTATGAGTTTTTAAGCAAGACAAATACCATACTAAACACAAATAAGACACCATTTTAGTGGGATTGCACACTATCTACATCTCCTGGCCCATTTTGTGTATTTAGTCTTTAAAAAATCATATCTTGTACATCAAGAACAAAACACACAAGTCTTAACATTTTCTTCCATCTATTTTAGAAATCAGATATAAAAAAACCCATAATATTTGTATACCTACTTAGGGGGGGGTTGAAAAAGGTAGGAGTAGACCTGAAGAAAGAGAGAAGGATAGGGTTGATCTAAACAATGAGAGAAGAATTTTAATACACCTGAACAATGAGAGGATGGTTGATGTAGATCATAACAGAGAGAGGAGGGTTAATGTACATCATTACAATGAGAGAATTATGGGTGTAGGCCTTAACAATAAGGAGAGAAGGGTGGGTGTGGACTAGAACAATGAGGAGAGAAGGGTGGGTGTGGACTAGAACAATGAGGAGAGAAGGGTGGGTGTAGGCCTGAACAATGAGGAGAGAAGGA